TAGCACTGGGGTTCTACCCTCCCTAAAGTCATCCCCCAGAGAGACAGTCAAGTACACTTGCTAATCCAGGATGTTTTGCTTGCCTAGTTTGCTCTCCTTTTTGTCCCTGTGGGTAGGAGAGGAAGAGAATAGAAGAATACAAACAATGAACTTGAGGCTCAGGGAATGTTTGCACAGAGGGCTTGGTGACAGCTTGGGACCTGCCCTGGATGGCACTGAGCCCCTTTCCCAAATACCCAAAGCTGTCAGCTCGTGCCCTGGGAGCCCTTGGCAGGCTGCTGTTTGTCCCCAAGGCAATGGGGTGTTAATACACATCGGCTCACTTGGTTTTTTTACTTCCCCTTCCCAGATCTCCAGGGAACTGGGGTGGGCACAGGTGGAGGATTGGAAGGAAATGATGCAGTTTCACTTATTTATTTGCATGCTAAGTGTCTTGGGTGGCAATGCAAGATGGAACCAGAAGGATGTGTTCTATCACCAGCTGTTAAAACCAGCTGGGGCACTGTTCTTTATCTCTCCCACCACCCATCCTCCCTCCAAGGGGAAATCTGCTGTTCATGGGCCATTGAGTCTCACTGCAGGACTGATAAAATTCCATCATCCATTGGGAGATGCTCCACCCAGGGGCAGGAACCAAGCATTCCTACCTGGATATAATCTGAGATTTGGAACAGCACAGCAGCCTTTCTGCACTGGATGCCAGAGGAAAACAGGAGCCATCTACAGCCCTGGAGCTTCAGAGGAGAACTGCACCCTTCTACAGGATCTGTGCTTCAGCAGAACCACATCTGTCACTGCAGGAGAGCTGCAGCCACCATTTAATGGGACTGCTACCAACAGCCTGCCCAACAGGGTGTCAGGTTGTACCCTGACTCTGTCAGTGTTTTGTTTGTACTACCGCATTTTTATTTTAATTTTCCTAGTAAAGAACTGTTATTCCCGTATCTTTGCCTGAGAACATCTCAATTTCAAGAATATAAAAACTCAGAGGGTGGGGTGTTTACATTTTTTCCATTTCAAGGGAGGTTCCTGCTCTTCCTTAGCAGACTCCTGTCTTTTCAAACCAAGACACCAAGCTCCAGCCGAAGGGCAGTGACAGCCAGGTGTTTGTGCTGGCTGTTCTTGTTAGAGGACAAATGCTGATGGACTTGTTTGACTCCTGGAGCTCTGAGCCCTGCTATTGTGAGCAAGATTTGAACTTCTGCAGGTGTGTTGGGAATAGCCCAAAGCACCTTGTTTGGGTTGCTGGTCAGAGGAATTCATGGTTGTTATATTTGGGAGCCAGGCAATGATTACAAATCAATGACTCCACTCCCAGAGTGATTCATCATTGACCTGTGAATTTTAGCCCTTTCCTTGGCTCTCTCCATCAGCAGCTCCCGTTCCTGTGGCATCTCAAGTGTCTTATTTTAAATCAAAGGGTAGTTATGGGTGTAGCTGAGGAGTGGAAGGACAGAGGCACTGGGATGTGGTCAGGCAGCTGAGGGAAGGGAGGGTTTTTGAAGGGGCATGGGGCACCTTGAGGGTGAGCAGAGCTTGGCTGTAGACTGGAGCAAGACCCAGGGCACACCTGCATTCTCTGTGCTGCAGGGCTCCCACTGATGTCCCTGCTGGGCTGGGAAATGCTCCATGGTTTTGCCTGGCTAGGCACAAAGTGGGGTGGGAAGAGATAAAAATGCCAACCTGAGCCCAGCTGGACCAAAGCAGGGGTAATGTAATGATCCAGTGGGGAGCTTTTAATGATCCCAAACATCCCAGGACAGTCTGTTCTTAATAATAATTATAGCACTTAGCACAGTTACATGTTCTTAGCATTTTAGAGGCATTAACCAGGGACTGGGACTGTGGTCTCACCCAGGCCCAGCAGAGAGGCAGGGACTGTCCTCCCTCACCTGTGCACCTGCCCACCTCTGGCTGTTTTCCTGCCCCTTGCTTGTCCCACCTCATGGTTTCCCTCTCCAAACTGGACTGTGTCTCTTATGCAGACTTGTTTTACAGCAGCTGCTGGCCCAAGGACCACAGCTATTGCACCAGCAAATACAGCAAATAATCATCACAGATAAACAGGGAATTGGTTCCATTTCACAAATGAGGCAGCTGGCACGGAAAGAGCAGCTAACTGGTGAGCTAGGAACACATTTCCCGGCTCCAGTCTTCTCTTCCCAGCCTTACAGTGATATTTCCAGAGAACAGCTTGGATTACAACCAGCTAAAGGGCATCCCCACCCTCTGTGCTCCCAGAAATCCTCCTCGGTTTGCATTTGGCTTACACAAAAATGGGCGGCCCACACAGAAAACGCAGCCGGGTCTGCATCACCCCTAGGTCTTGCCTCTGCTGGATTTATCACTGTAGCTCTTGCAATCACCTCCACACTCTGCCAGGCCTTCAGCTGGGGCTGGGAGCTGCAGTGGCACACTGCGAGCTGACCCTCCCCAGCAGCAGGACGGTCTCTGAAAGATGAAGTGAGAAACAAACATCTGCAAGGCTGTGGCTGCCACCTCCGTGGTCCTTCCCCCTTGCTGCATCCCCTGTGCAAGGAACAGGGTGGTGGGAGCTGGCACAGCTGTGGCCACAGCAGGGGAGGTGCAGGAGGGAGAGGTGGGGAGACCTTCTGGGAACGGTACCTGTCGCTTTCAAGAAGCTCAAAAGGTTGGAGGGGAAGAGGTTTGCATGTGGAACTGAAACTGGAGCAGGGGGAACTCGCTGTGAGCACTCAGAGCTGGCCACCAGCTATTTAAAGCTTCAGATGCATCTGAGGTGCAGCTGGGCATAAAGAAGGGGCACGCTGGCAGCTTGCACACCCAGGACAGGGGGCTTTGGAACACTGCTGGGCACAGCTGCAGCAGCTGAGAGGTCAGCAGGGGCTAGGAAGCACCCCAGAAACCAAGGAAAAGCTGAGCTGTTGGATGAAGGAGACCTGGTGCTCCTATCAGCCTTGGCTAAACAGCTCGTGGGACCAGAGCCAGGGAGCTCAAGATCATTCCAGGGGCCACACAAGAACTGCAATCATGCTCCTGTGGACAGATACAGAGCTATTGCAAAACCTCCAAAAGGGCTACTTGGTTCTCAGGAAGAATTCAAACGAGCTGAGAGATGTGTTGGTGTGGAAATGACAGCTGTAACATTCCTTGTTAGTCCTTGAGACAGGACAAGTCTTCCTATACCATGCCTCTGTTCCCAGGGAAGTCTCAAGGCAGGGTTTTGGCTGTCTGCAGGCACTGGATGAACCCAATCCTCCCCCAGATGGGGCTCCTGGTTGTCCTCTTCTCCCTCTTTCCACTTTTCATGTCCAGACAGATCCCACCTAAAAGCAGCTGTGGTCCTATTTCACCAGGATTTTTTTATTTCCAGAGCATGCACCATGTTTTAACTGAGAGCAAAGCATCTCAAACACCTGCTTATTTCCTAGTCCAACCCTTGCAACATCTGTACAAAAGTCTCCTGGCAACATCTGCAATTTTTTTATGTGGAAAAGTCCCATCAAAGAAGTGTTTGAGCACTGGAGTTTGCTTTTTGTTTTTCAAATGTGATTTGAAAGGATGAACCACTACAAATCTCTGAGGCCCTCTGGAAGGCATTTCCAAGACCCCTGCCTGGCTGTAAGCTATTTGAGATCCCTCACACAGCATTTTAACCCTCCACAGTGGGAACCTGTCTCTAGCACCCCACTGCTCACTACAGAGCCGGTTTTCCAACTGCCTGGGCTGAATTTGGTTTTATGGAACTAATGCTAGGCTTTAGTGCTACAAGAAGATTAAAGCAATTCCCTTCCCTCAGTGATATTGCTCCCTTGAAGGTATTTGGAGGAGGAACTCTTGTCCCTACTGAACCATCCCTTTTCATTCCATGCACTTCCCTCCTCACACCTCCCATCCTCGAGTTGCTTTCATCAACCAACAGTTGCTGCTGAGCAACTATTTGGGTCATCTTTCCACTCCACTGCTCTCCCTTTTTGGGAGCAGGATCATCTAGAGACTCAAGGAATATTCATCCTGCCGAGGAGCAGGCAAGGGGGCACAGCCACCCTCTGGACACGCTGCCATGGCCAGGGCTTAGGGAATATTTGGGATCCCTGAACGATCCCTGCATGGATGCTGGGACTGATCTCAGTGCCAGCACAGAGTGAAGGCACCAGGAAAGAAGGAAAAGCTGGCAGGTGTCCAGCTGGGACAGTCAGTGGGCAGCCTGAACACCCTGCTTTCAGTCCCAGCTAATGAAATTTAACATATTACTGACCAGACTCTGCTGTCTCTGCCTCAAAAACAATCTTTGTGAGTGCTGTGGGTTGTTTTCAACAGTTCTTAACTTACAAGACCTTTCTTTCTTTAATATTTAAAATGATTAAATTTTTGGACTAAATGAAACCAAACGGACTTTGTTCTCCCCTGGAAGCTGTTCATGCAACATCTGTTTTAAGTAGTTTAAAACTCAGTCCGTTGAACTGAGTGAAAAAAAATGCTGAAATTACTGTATTTGTTGTGATTTTCATTTATTTTTTTTTTAAAATAACTCCATCCCCGCTTCCACCTGACCTGCTTCCCAGGCTCGACTTTATCCCCGCCATACCTCAGGGACGGATTGATGCCTGCCTCACCCACAGAGCTGAAGGCAAGACCATTTCAAGGCACGAATCGCTGTTTTCTCCGCTGTGAAAGCATTAGCGAGCAGACTTTGCGGTGTCGCTGGCATTAAACCCGCTCTAGATTAGATATCCAAGTTTGTGTGTATTCCCGGGACAGCGATGTCAGAGTTCCCCCGCAGCAGCAAGGCGTGCCGGAGCGCTTCTCCCAGGATATTTAAGAGCTGCCCGAGTGTGCCAGGGGACAGACGAGCCCCCGCTGCCGGGCAGTGATGGGTTAAAGAGCTATGAGGTTCCTCTGAACCACCCCGCTTTTTTTGGCAGCCCGCTTTCTCACAACCTCCCCTTCCTCCTCCTCCTCCTTATATATTCATGAAGCAGCGCGGCCGGGGTGAAATAGAAGAGGAAGAGGAACTCGGTGTTCCCGGCTCCGCACGGACCCGGCTCTTCCCCTTTATTCAGCGCTGCCCCGCAGGAGACGGACTCGCCCCCCGCTGCATCCGCTCTGGGGACGGGGAGGAGAAGAGTTAACAGTAAGTGAGTCGGTCCCAGCGCTCCTCTTTGGCATGTTTCCTTTTCTGAGCTCAGAGCCAGGCCTGGGATGGGGCTGCACCCCACCCCTGCTCCGTTTGCTCGCCTGGTACCCGCTAAAGGGGCTGGCGATGTGCTCCTGGACCCGCAGGTGGAGGAGAGCTGGAAGCAGAAGATACGTGCACAAGTAATTCACATAGGCTTATTTTGAGATATTGAGCCCTTCTCCAGCCTGTTTTGCTCTGGAGAGATTGGCATGCAGGGCCACTAAAGCCTGGTGTTGAAGGATTATATTGCAGTTGTGCTTTTTGGGGAGAGGGAGAGATCTCAGAGGTCACATGTGCTTGTCTCCCGTGATCTCTTACTGCTGCCTTGGTCTCACTTCCATCCCCTTTCTTCTGGGATTGCGAGGGAAGGACACACCTCTGCTTCTGCAGAGGAAGCCTTGGGGTTTCCTGCCCATAAATGAGTCCTTTGGATAGCTGGAATATCCTAGAAAGGTGTAACAGGATCTTCTCTCAGCTGGAGGGAACCAGGATTTGATTAGCTCAAGCCAAGCCCCTTACCTGGACATCATCAGCACCCCTCGCTCAATGAGGCCTCCATCCCAGCTTGCAAGCAGCATCCTGATCCCACCAATCCCCCATTCCAGGGCTGGAGCTTTGCCTTACTGAATGATGTGCTGCCAGTCTGATCCAAGCAGCAATATCTCTTTGCCCTACCCAGCCTTGCTGTGTGTAATCAGCAGCCACCAGGAACGTGCTGATCCATCAGCCCTAAATCCAGGGGACATTGGGAGAGGTGCATCCCATTAACGCAGTGCTTCTGCAGGATGGGCCAACAGCTTCATATCCCATTGCCCACCTTCTGACCTCTGCTAATGCTTCAGTCTTTTCTCCCCATCAAGGTGCAGCTGTAAGATGAAACCTCCATCTGGGCAAGGCATAAGGTTGGCATACCTTCTCCTGAGTCTGGCTCCCCTCTGCCTTCCCAGCCCTCTCTGGAAGGACCGCGATTTCCTGATGCAGGAGGAGAAAGCCCAAAGGACAGGTGGCAACTTGGTGCTGAGTAGGCAGGAGCAGCAGCTCAGCACAAAGCTCGTCAACCTCAAGAAGAAGGAAGTGGAAGCAGCCATGAGTACAGGACAGTTTCCTCCAAGCATGCACTTCTTCCGGGCAAAGAGCCTCATTGATCAGAGCGCGGTGTTCAGCATCTTAAAGCGCATGCCGAAAGGTAGGCTTGGCTTAAGGAGGCTCATCTCACTCCTCCTTTCTCATCTTTTGCTTTCTGAGCTGGGACAAAACGCAGGATGTGGGAGACAAGCTTTTGAGAACTATGAATTGTGCTCATTGGGTTCCAGGAAAAGCCCTGACACCGAGCTCAGAGATGGGGTAGGAGCAGAGAGGAAGAGGGGGATGGATTGGATGAATACACATTTCCAGCAATTGTGGCATCGGGTTTAACTTAACAATGTGGATCCTTAAGTCTTTCAAGAGTGGAGAAGGGGCAGAGGAAGCAAGGACAACAAGAAATAACAGACATCCCCATTTACTCAGCATCTTCCAGCCTCTTTTTTTCCCCACATGCACATTCCACAAACAGGCTACCAACCTTGTCTTATTATGTATCTTAGCCAAAAGCATTGCATCCCCCAAAAAGTGTTTCTGCAGGTGGTTCTGTAGCAGGCCTGGAAGTCTGCTGGAAAGTCTGGGGGCACTAGAGGAGGAAGGGGCTACCTCTAACATTGAAATCTTCATTTTCCTTGCTTGTTGTGTACAAATCAAAGCCTGTGTACTTCCAGCACTCAAAGCGAGCTTATAAAAGGGAGAGAGAGCAACATTTTACGTGGGCAGGTAGTGACAGGACCAGGGGGAGCAGTACTGAATTAGAGTAGATATAAGTAAAAGTCTTTACTCGGAGGGTGGTGAGACACAGGAACAGATTGCCCAGAAAAGTTGTGGCTGGCCCATCCCTAGAAGTGTTCATGGCCAGATTGGAGGTGGCCCTGAGCAATGTTCCCAACTTCTGCCTCCCAGACTTGCAGCACCCTAATCCATTACCATAAACAATTAGTATGTCAGAAATGTAATTATCCTTTCAGGGCTGAATTGAACAGTTAGGACTTTAAAAGTACTCCCCTCTTCACCTCCAGTATCATTGATACTCCCACCAAGTGGGAGTCAAAACAAATAATTAACACTTTTCACTCCAGGTGATGTTTAAATGGCTTCTTGGAATCTTTGCAAGGGCTGTAAGCTTTTAGGGCCTCAATCACATCCTTGTAGCTGTTTGAGGAGGACTTGATCAGAGCCCCTGGGAGTTCCTGTTGTTTCAAGCACTATTGTAATGTCTGTGGCTGCTCACACAGGGAAGAAGGTGACATTGCCAGCCAGAGGAGGGTCAGACAGCTGCAGCATGCCCAGCCTGGTGCACAAACTCTGCTGAGAGCAGCAATCACAGCTCCTCAGCATCTTTACAGCCAGACCCTCTCTAGTGGGGGATCATAGGCATTAGAGTCTATATTAGATTAGTCCACTATAAATTATAGTCTGGAACTTAATCTAATGTCAAGTACATACCAGTCTTGTGTCTTGTTCTTGCTATTCATGTTCTCCCTTTACCCCTAAGGGCATCAAAGCTATTTGCACTAAGAGGTCTCCCCTAGACTAATAAAATACATGTCTAAGACTCCAGCTCTCACAGTGTCTTCCCTTTACAAAGGTGAGGCTTAGTTCAAGCACCAATAACACCAGGAGTCATTGGAAAAGGAGAGATTTCAGCAAAATGAAACTATATGGAAGGTGAGCAGACAGAGGATGCTTCCTGTGCCAGGAGGACTGGCAGTTGCCAACATACTGCACAATAACAGAGTGCCCCAGAGGCCCTCTGTGCTGGCCAGCAGCAGATGTACAATGTAAGCCAGCGTGCTTTTGATAAGGCACAAAACTAAATTGTACTTCTGCATCTGAGTGCAATTCCCCAGAGTAACGTGGCCTGGGATTTTGGTGTGTGCCAGAGTTCCAGAGAGCTGAAAAAAGAGACATGGACTAGACACAAAAAACAGCTCAGATGCAGAGCTTTGCTTCAGGTGTGCTTCAGCCAACGTGCCTTGTAAACTGCTGCCTCCTATGTGAGTTTCTCTTTAAAAAAATCAGTGGTGCCTGAGCCAGCTCACAGCAAAGTCTGACTGAAAGACCTTTAATAACTCGGAGCGTTTTCCATCCCAGTGGAGAAGCAGAGCTCCCTATTGATTTCCCCTCTCCCTGTGCTCCCAGGGAGCTGTCACACTCTGCCTGCCCAGTGTCTGATGTGAAGGGGGCCATATCCTCCAGCCTGGGGGAAGCAGAGCAGCCACGCAGCCCTTGCTGGGAGAACTCACTCCCATCCTTCTAGAAGCATTTCCAGACACCCCTGGTCGGGCAAACAAACCATTATCACATTAAACCTTCTCCCCAGCTACTTGGGCTCATCGGGATGTCCTTGTCCCTCACCCCACCAGGTGCTGTGCTCCACCTGCACGACTTGGCCATGCTGAGCGTGGGCTGGCTGGTGTACAATGCCTCCTACCTGCCTGACTGCTACATCTGCTTCACCAACACGGGCTCCGTCCGATTCCGCTTCTCCCGGCCGCGCCCTCCGCACCCGCTGCCAGCCCAGTGCTCCCAGTGGCTTCTGCTGGGCTCCTACCGGGAGCAGCTCAGCGACGTGGCCGAGTTTGACAGAGGGTGAGTGAAGAGGGCTGGCTGGCCTGTTGGTGTCAGCAATGTCCTGCTTCCATTTTGCAGCCAGCAGAAGCGTTCTGGTCCAGTTTTCCTGTTGGCTTTCTTGCTCTAAACTCCGTTTAGGGCGGTGCATGTGAAAAAGTAAAGATGGTCTAAGAGCTTGGAGGCTGTTGCATGAAGTATGCCAGAGTCAGGGGCCATAAAAACTGAATTTTTCTGTGCACACTCACTCTGGCCCTCTGTGCAGACATGCTGAGGACAGTAGATTTGTGAGACCTGTCCCCAGACTGGATGGGCTCTCAGTATGGGATAGGGCTGCATGGTGCCTCATCCAGTGAGGTACCCAAAAACTGGATGAGGAAGCCAAGTAACTGCTGAACAGGCTCTACCCAACAGCAGAAAAGCCCTTTGCAAAGCCATTGTTTTGATTCAGAGCAAGAAGTTGGGGAAACTATTTATGTCAATTACTGCACTAGCAAAAACTCTCAAACTTCCCAAAATGAAACCCAACCTAACGCTCCCTCCAAGCACCAAACTTGTTTTCTGAGGCCTGCCTCTGAAACCCCATTGGCACCTGGAAGCATGAGGTACTCATTCCCAACCAGGAGCTGTGGCTCACCCTCCTGGCCAGTGGCTGATCCAAGGACCCCTGACTGGTTTGGGGTCTCCTTCCCCTCAAACATCCTCCTGCTAACAGAGCTTCTGCCCTTACAGGCAAGGCTCCTGCAGCTGTCTGGGTGCTCACACCTCAGCTGAGTCCTCAGGGCATCACTCACCCTCCTGCAGGAGCTTCCCCTCCCTGCCTTTAGTGCTGGCAGCCTTTTATCGGGACCACCTGGCATTTATTCACTTACAGGTGGCTGGGAAGAGCCTGGCTCCCCCTCCAGCCAGTGGTGATGAGAAGCCAGACTCCTACCTCCCCATCCAGGAGCCATTGATCCTGGGACAAAGCCCTGCTGAGGAGGCCAAGAGGAAGCATGCAGATCTGCTGTGGTGTGGGGGGGGCTGGAGAGAACACGCTAAATAATGCATGAAGTCAGACACTGAGCGATGAGGACAAAGGAAAATATTGAGTAGCCATCCATTCAGAGGGCTGTCCGTGGCGCTCCGGGGACTGGGGTCTGCAGGGAAAACAAGAGTGTGGGGTGTCATGTAATGACAGACACTATTGCCATGCCAACACACAAGGAGAGGGCTGGATTAAGGCACTGCAGGTGACCCTAATCCCAGCATTTCCCAAGTGAAACTTGGTGGGTTTTACTGCAGTGCTTTTCAGTGAGGTTGTGTGCTCTTAAGCAGAGACCTTTTAACTCTCGGTGAGCTGATAGCCCCTCCACATGGAAGCTGTCTGGGCTCTGTGCCCTGCAGATTTGGGAAGGCTAGGAAGCTGAGGAGCTTCCAGACTTGTGGCTTGGTATTGCCTTCCCTCCCCAAAAACTGCAATGGGCAGGGCAGAGGGGTCTGAATCTCCAGGGCTCCACCACTCCTCTCTTGTGGAGGTCCAGAAGGGAAGGAGAAAGTGATGCCAGACCCTGAGCTCTTGACCTTTTGTATCCTGAGGCTCAACTGCCCTGACATGTGATGGACGAAATAAGATCCAGTGAGAAGTCACTTATCTCTGTCTTCCAAAGAGAAAACTGGTTCCTCATTAGCTCCCTTCCATTTCTGCTGGGAGTGATGAGGAAGGAAAGATGACAGCACCAGCTCTCTTCAACCACACCAGGAGACCCATAAATAACGTGCAAGGGGTTGGATTTTGAAACAGCTTCTCTTCCTTAAAGCTCAAGTAATTGCACTGGGCATTTAGAAGTGTCTCAGGAGCAACCCTTCATTGCACTTGTTTTTAGTTGTGTTTCCATGGCATGATGCCACTTTCTGGCAGAGGCTTAAAGGGCAGGGCATCCTGTATACCCTGTCCTGGGTGACTGGGGCTGTGCATTGTGTGGTTCCCTCTGTCCCTGCGTGGAAACCCTTGTTTTCAGAGGCAGTATTGCCACTTTCCTCTTCTTTTGTGTTTGTCTCACAGTGTGTAGTGGCCACGAGTCAGAGCAGGACTTCAGAGTGGCAGGCACTGCACAGGGACACAAGACAGAGCCTCGCTGCAAGACTCTCCCCAAATGTGGAGGGGAAACCGAGGCAGAGGCCAATGAAGCAATTTCCCTCAGCAAACATATGCCTGAGCCAAGAACAAACTTGGATCTCTCGCACCCTGGGTGCTGACTTACCCATTTGAGTGTGTTGTCCTTCATTTCTTGCCCTTCCGTGCTCATCACCACAAAATCACAGAGGAGTCATTATGCATAATGTGCAAACACACCAACAACAGCCACACTGAGGCACTTCCCCTCCTATTTCCATCTAATCCCCGGGCACTAGTCTAGGGGTTAGGAATGTTTTTGGCCGTCTGGAAATAGGTCTCTAGCCAGGAATAGGCCCCAATCTGTTCTGCCTCTCAGTTTCTGGAAACTCTCCCAGTCTCTTGAACATGTGCATCCCAGGCTACCTCTCTCCTGCACTCCTCTTTGCCCTTGAGCACTGACAAGCTGAGAGAAAGCAGATGTCAGAGGAAAGAACGGATGGATAGTTGGGTGGTTTCAAGGAAGTGTCAAGGGAATATGGCAGCAGGGAAGGGCTCTCATGCAAGACAGGGTGGATCAGCAAATGTGAAGGAACAATGGAAATGTTTCTGAGAAGCTGCACCTCTTTCCCCTTACAGCATTTCTGACCGGGAGCGGGTGGAAGAAAGGGGAATGTGCATGATTTTTGCTGTTTGCATTTTTAGGTACATATACACATGTGTGTGCTTTGGAAGGGACTCCTTTTGTTGTTTCCCTCAAGAGAAGGTCTAATCATTCCTATTCAAAACAAACATCTCGTGGGCCAAGACCCTGGAGTATTGTGTTAGTGGTAAGCTTCCAAAAGGACGCTGTCAGGAGAGCCAAGAGACCACAGGCCAAGGGACAGCAAAAGGAAGGGAATTTTGCTTTCATACTTAAAAAGGACAAAACCAATCCTCACTCATTTTCTTCACAATCAATTACGATACAGGAGAATGTCATTGGCTGCCATCTCCGAAGCAAGAGCATGCCCCCAGATATTTCAGGAAGCAGCATTGACATCCCAGGTATTTGTAAAATAGCACTGCACACCCCCCACCAGCAGCCCAAGGATTGAGGCCGTGCCCAGCAGAGCTCTCCATCACCAGGATGAAGTCATCTGTGAGGGAGCTGACACCACAGCCGAGGCTTCAGGGACAACTCCCCTGGGCACTGGCTGGGGCTGCCATCACCTTCCCCTGCGTGTCCTCTGCCTGCCTTATCTCACAGAAAAATAGGGCAGCGTGTGCAGTACGAGGGGGGGGGGAAAAAGGAATAAAAATCCACTACAGAAACAAAGCACTCTGCTCCCTCTACAAGTCTCCCCTTGGGGAGAAGAAGAGGGGATGAGAGAGAGCGAGAGAAAGCGAATGAACCACATGTGACAGATGTTAGTCACACTGTTTAATGCACCACTGGAAGACATTTAGATACTACGGTGAGGAGAGGGGCATAATTACCCACCAAGAACAGAAAAAAAGAGCAGGAAAAAGAATCCCTTTAAAAACAAGGCAACAAAACCTTTCACTCCCATATTATATACAGCACAGGAAAGGAGAACGAGGAAAAATCCCAGGGAAAGAGAAAGCAAACCCACAGTTGAAAATAAATAATCCTTGGCTGGTCATTTTAGCTGTGCCCCTTTGGGCATATGCATTGCAATAGAATTGTGCAGTGCATATATGACATGACACGGAAGGCTATTTGTAGTCTGCACCTGATCACTGGTGAAGGCCCATTCCAGAAAAGAAACAAAACAAAACAAAACAAAAAAAACAACAAAAAAACAAAGAAAAATAAAGTATTTGTGAAGCTTTGCTTCATCTGCATGAGCTACTGATGGCAAAAGCCCCCAAACGCTTAGGAGATTATCTGGTTATCAAGGATGGATCACTATTATGCAATAAATCTTCAACAGTTGTAAGGATCAATAATCAGTCTCAAAGGGAAGGGGATTATAAAGAGAAGTACAATTTGATTTATGTGCTTTTAGGAGCAGGGTGGTGTGGGGATTTATTGCTGTTTCCAGCCCAAGAGCACAGGCTAAGCAAACAGCCACGAGTTTGTAGAGTGAGATTTAAAGGCAGGGAGCGGAGCCCTGCGTGCACTCAGTGCTGAGGAGCCGAGTTCTCACAGGACAAGGGGAGAAAGTGCTGGGAGCCCCACTAAGCACCCATCCTTATCTGAAACGGAGCTGCCTGGAGTGGCGAGAACGGGCTTGCACGGCCTTTTGATCCACGGGGAGGTTTTTCCCGGAGCGCTGGGAGCAGCCCCGCTCGGCTCCCGGCTCCGGGCAGGTGCCGAGCTGGAGGGGAGCTGCCCTTCGGCCACGAGGGAAAAAATAAATAAAAAAAAAAAAATCTCTTTTCCCTCAGCTCTTCCCACACGAAACCTTCCTGATGAGCAGCAGCACACCCTTTTTTGCTCTCCGCAGCTCGGGCAGCTGGAGCAGCGCCTTCGGGATGCTCCTGACTCCTGCATTCCTGGTTTCTAGGGAGATGCTGCGGTGTCTCCCGCTGCCGAGTGCTCCTCGCTGCCCGCCCCTTCTGTGGTCCAGCTCGGTCCTCTCTGCTTGCTTGGATTACTGAACAGTAGCCGGGGTTGCCCGGTGTCCTGGGATAATGGCACCAAAGCCCCTATTGTAATGCATGGGAGGGCAGAGCCCGAGTTGCTGTGGAAACCTTATCTCTGGATTTTCCTGACTGTTGAGCATTTAAAGTCTCATCCTTAACAGTAGTAGCATCTCTTTTACGTACAGGTTTGCTTCTAAAATTGTTTCTGGCAAAGCAGTTAACAGGGTGTGAGGAAGAAATGAAAGCACAGCCCCTGGAAGAGAATCCTTAGAGAGTGAAGCAGCAGGCAAATCCTGGGGGAACGGGCTCTGTTTTATGGGCAGGATGGAGGGATTCAAAAGGCATATCTGTCCAGGATGTCTTCATTTATAAATTTGGACCTGATCACATTTTACATCTGTAGGGGGGCTGTGGGGGTTTAATTCCACCCACAGAAGTGTCCTGGATGAAGATGATAAGATCACAAATCAAAGTCACACCTCCCATATAACAGAGCAGAGCACTGCACGAGGATGGGGGCCAAGACATCAAACAGGAAACATTATTAAAGATCAGTAGCTGTTATTGAAGGGAAACAATATACTCAGATGAAAGCATGGCTGAAGGTATTTCTTTCTGAACCTGATTAGCCCCCAACACGAGATAAGCACTGGGCCAGCAAGAAAACATCTGAAGGTTTCTGTGATGGCTTCCATTTGTCCACCCAGGGATGAAGTTAATCACCCCTGCATTGCCATTTAGGCTTTGCCCACTGGTAGGATAAATTTATTATGAACTACTCTTCAGGTGGGAGAAAGAGGGCTGGTGCCAGAGGCAGGGCTCCAGGTGGGTTGAAGGCTATCAGCTTGCCAGAGGATGGTGGTGTGGCACAGATACCCACCCTGTCCTAAATGCAAGCTGTCACCCACAATTAGATTATCTCGCAATTTACTGTCTCCCTTAAACTCTGCTCTATAAAACTACCCACTGTCTCTCTGGATTTCTGAAAGAGGCTTATATGCCAGCTGAGTGTATGGAGGAAATACATTTCCATCACACTAAGGAAAAGCCAGGACTGAGATTCTTACCAGCTGTTTCCCTGAAGTAGCTATCAGCAAGGCAGGCAGGGCATCAGGTTTGTTCTCACTGGTGGAGAAAAATGATTTCTGATTCACAATTGTCTTCCCCTTGCATTTTTTTAGATGGCATATTTTGACAATACAAAGGTACCAGGACAACTCAGGGGCTCAGCAAGCAGGTTGGTGGTGGCCCAGTACATGGCATCTCCTGTAAACCAAGTCTGCCTTTTAGGTGCTGAACAGAGGGCCAGGTGTTGTGACATTTATGTGCATTGAAGGTGCTTGGGAAAGCATATTGTTTGCAGGAGTGATGTGCATGCCTGCTTTCAGATTGGGGATTCCCTGGGTGGCAGAGTATAACTGATACTTTTATATCCATAAAAACCATACCTGCTTTTCTAACTCTGTTCCTTGCAAAAGGGAGGGACAGGTTTTAAGCACCTACTCCTACCCTGCTTACAGCTCAACATGTATCATAGGAATTCTGTGTCAGCCATTAGAGGAGTAAATACAGGTGGCAGAAAAATGACCTGAATGCTTCCCAGTGGCACCAGTCACTGTTATGCCTGTGGTACTGCAGGCTCTGTTTGTTCTCCTCATTCCTTCTCTTCTCCCTTTTCTATAGCTTGCTGAGAAACCTGACCCTGGTGACAGATGCCCCTGAGCTGGCCTACCCCTCTCAGGCTTTCATTTGGAAAAGATTTGAAGAAATCTTTCTCATTGCCTCTGGACTTATCTGCTATGCACCTGTGTTCAAGGCCTATTTCTACCAGGGGCTGCTGGAGCTCTATGAAGATAACATACAGTATGTTGAGATAAGAGCTATCCTGCCTGCGGTATGTGGGGTTTGGCTTCTCTAATAGTCTTTTAAATCCCTATTTCTCCATAACTTTTCTCAAGCCCTATCTTGAATTTAGTTTTTGGATGTTTGCATACCTGCCCTTCTGAGGATGCTGGGAAACCTTGATCATATTCAAACGTCTTTCTTGGAGATTTGCCTAGGTAAAGGCTTCAAAGTGAGAGATTCTTTGTTCTTAATGGCTAAGGGAGATAGATACCTGCTGTGACACAGGCACAAAACTACACTGTACAGTCAGACCGAGCTGTGTCAGAATCTTGCTCATTGGGAAGATGTAGCTCAGTTTTGTCTGCAGCAGAATCACCTGTTCTGTGGCAGCTAGAACAAAGTTTCTGTCTTGAATAGAGACTTATTCTGGAATGGCTATGTTATTTTAAATCCTCAGCTTATTTCAGAATGATTACTCCGAATAGGCGAATCAATCAATTGGCAAAACACCGCCTTCCACAATTTGCAGACAACCTAAAATTTGTGTATGAGGTGTGAACCGCTCCTTTCATGGCCATTAACACCAAAATCTGGTAATGGTTCAGGCCTTTCTCCCTGTGTGTCACCCACAGCTGGTCAGGTTGTCCTACAAAACCACCCTGCCCTAATGCCTTCCCAAGCACCAGCAGACCACACCATTTCCCCACTTTCCCAGTGAGAATTTTGTCACTGCAGACACACCTTTCCCATACAATTCTCCAGCCCAGCTCCATGCAGGACTCTGTGGGGGTGGGAGTTTTGTCAGGGAAAAAAGGGGAAAAAAAAAAAAAAAAGGAACATGAAGAAAGCCACAAAGTTTACATTTCTCTTACTTTGCTGGGGGCTGCCCTGAGCCAGTTGCTCTGAATTCAGCCACCACCTGTCTTTGGGGTACCTGGGAAGAGAAAACAGCAATGTCAGAATGTCAACAGCCTCTGCTGGCGTCCCCTCAGGCCGCACAGGTTTCCAGGCCAAGAGTATCTGCCACGATACAAATACAGGAAAATACCCTGCCTTCACCATCAGCCCTTAGACACGGCTCTAAGTCCTTTTGAAGAGAGGCTTGGCAGGGAGGATTTGCTCCCCATCCAGCTCCTAAAGCCGGCGGTGGCCGTGGTGGCCTGCGGAGCCCTGGGGCTGAGGCGCCGTGAGCTCCAGGCAGGCCGGGCACCACGGCAGGGAATGCCAGGCTGGGATGGAGGGCGAGCCAAGGGACAGGCTGAAGCTGGGGTGGTGCCCTCGTGGGGAAAGTCAAGGTGAGCAGGGTGTGAGGAATAGCGAGATGCTGGGGAGGCTGGAGATCCTCCGCAAGGCTGACGCTGCAAAAGCTCTCCTGGCGGCAAAGCCCGCCAGAAGCGGCCCCTGAGGTAAAGTAAATGAAAACTGGGATTTAGTGCGAAACAGCAAACACTGAGGAAAAGCCCCCTGAGCCCAGCTGTGTTTGCAGATTCAGCTGTGTAAAGTCTCACATTCCCATGGGCTGCAGCTGGGGAAAATTCCCTCTGAGCATCAGCAGCTGCCCCATGGCTGCTGGTGCCTGCAAGGGGGACACCACGCTGTGATGGGGTGTGGGGCTCTGAGAGGGGCACCAAGGAGAGGTTTGGGGGTGAAGTGGAGCTGCTGAAGGCTGGAGGAGAAAGGTGACATGAAAAGAATGGTGAGAAAGGTGAGAGGAGAACTGATGGAGTGGTTTCAGTGCTGTCCAGGTAGCCTTTGTGGGATAGCATCAGTGGGGCATTCAGGGTCTCCACCCTGCTGAAATCAGGTCAAAAGCCCTGAGAACAGCCCTGGTAGTGAGGACCCTCCAGAGCAAGTTGATGAGACAGAGCATGCCAAAAGGATTATTTTCCCCAGATTGCAGCCAGAGAAAGCATGGCAAGACTAAATGACTGACTCAAGGTCATGAAGCAAACCTCTGGCAGAGGGGAGCAGAAGCCCAGCTCAGCTGGTAGCTCATGGAGCTCAGCCATCGCGTGCCTTGGGGCTGCCTCAGCTGACAGACTGCCACTGCAAGGCACAGAGCATGTGTGAGCTGCCAGACAGCTGGACAAAACACTCCAGCACTGGATACAGACAGGAGTAAGAGGTCACGGTCTCCTCTGGGTTCTCAAGGGCGTTTGCTTGCCACGTCTGAACACAGAGAAACTTCTATCACATGGGAGGGAGGAATCCCACTCCTTGCTTCTTGCCAGCTGGGAAAGGCTTGAGGAAGAAAATGTTCTGCAGAGAATTTACTGCTTTTGTTTTCCTGCCCTGCTCTCAGGACCACAGCACTCTGCTTCTCCCAAGGTTTTTGTCACTTCATTTCTCCCACCTTCCAGAGAAACATCTCTTCTAACCACTGCTTGTCACATGCTTTCCACGCTGCAGGTGTACGAACTGGATGGCACCCAGCACAATAAATCATGGTCTGTGGCAACCTACCGGGAAGTGACCAGGCAGTTCGTGAAGGAGCACCCAGACTTTGTTGGAGCCAAGATTATATTTGCAGCGCACAGGTAGAGGCTGAGCGGGGCTGAGAGCGGCTCTGCTGTGTCAGAAGAGGGCAGAGGGCTGGGAGAAGCAATGCTAAGGGCTGGCCTGGAGTGCCCAGGTTGGTTGGCGATGTCCACATGCCTTGCCAGAGCGGGGCAGTTGACTCCTGAAACATTCCCTGGCATGTGTAAAAGGCTGGGGGTGAGAACCGCTCTACGTACGTGCAAAGCGAGCGGGCTGAGCCAGGAGTGTCTGTGAGCCCTGGGAGCCAGAACGAGCCCGGGCAGGGCTGCCTGTGTGCATGTCCAAGCTGTGCCTGCTCTCCTCCTGAGCCTGGAGGTGCTGCCTTTCCTTGCAGAGAGTGAAGCAGTGCCCGAGCGTGGCAGCGGTCCCCGTGGGACCCCGTGCGCGCCGCTCCCCGGCAGCCTCTGTACGGTATGTTCGTGCTGCTGCCCAGGCAGGCGGGCACAGGGCTGCTCTCCAAGTCAGCCAGATGCCATGAAGTCATGTGAGGTGATCCTCAGCAAGCAGAGCAGACCTCTCAGCAGCACTTACTCGCTCTGCTTTGGCACAATGCCCTCTCCGGCTCAGAGCTGGCTTGCCTCTCTGGCCAGCTTCAGTATGGACACAGTCTGCAAAATGCACCGAGAAGTTTTAAGTCTGATAGGGGTGGAAGAAACCTAAATGTAAAACTCTCTTGAAATGCAGTTACTGCCTCACCTCCCAACAAAACAGCCGGGAGGAAAGAAAAAAAATTAAACATTTTCCCTCCACACTTGTGTTCCCTTCCCTGCTTGGCAAATGGGAAAGCCAGTGAGTTAGACAAGCATGCATCAACTCAAGTGACAGCAGGGTCTAGCCAGGCATTTCCTGGTCATTCATGGGTTTCCTTTCATAATATCAATTTTCTACTGCTGTTCCTCTAGAGACCTGAAGCTGGTTGTCAGATTCAGGAGCAACTTGCATTTTGGAAATACCCCTGGGGGCTCCATTTCACAACTCAAACTGCTGAGAAGGCAGGCCCATGGGAGGCAGCTTCTGCAGCGCTTTCTCTCTCTTGCTCTCCAGGATGCTGAATGTTTCCCAGATTAAAGAAGCCATCCTCACTGCCATGGCACTCAGAGCCCGCTTCCCAGACACCCTGGCAGGCTTCGACCTGGTAACTGTATTTCTTCTGGGGCTTCACATTAACCCCTGGTGATACAACCACATATATACCGTGGCATATGTTGTATACCAGAGCCAGAACCTCCGCTGCTCTACTGAAATCAGTGTTAATGAATTGCAAATCCTCCAGCTAAGGATTTTGTTCAGGGTAATTGACAAAATCCCCTGAAAGAATCAGCTCCCTACCCCACAGCATTGTAATTTCAGCACAGCTGGCACCTCATTTATATAGAGCTGTGAGTCCCACCATCTTCCCAAGCTGCTCAAAAATACCTTTCTGCTTCCCCCCAGGTTGGTGATGAGGACGAAGGTCATTCTTTATGGGACCTGAAGGATGCCCTGACCATCCCATATTCCATGGGGGTCAACTTGCCATACTTCTTCCATGCTGGGGAGACTGGTAAGCATGAGAACTCTCGCAGAGGCAAGACTGGAATCTCGCAAAGAGCGAGCAGCAAGCCTGGCTTGCTGTGTCAAAAGGATGTGTGTGCATACATGTGCACAGAACCAGTTTCCCCTGTGCTTCTCCCCATACCAGTTTGGAGCTGTGGCATTACCACATGACCCCTCCCTTAGCTGCTCCCTGCCTTTGACTGTAGGTGTCACATTGCTCAGCATCTTTTATCTGGTGTGACAAGGAGCCACGTGCAGGAGTTATTGCTGGTAGCCATTTCCCCCATGGAACAGCACTTACTTCCCATCCACAACAGCAGCAGAATCCCCCAAACATCATTTTACATTTTAAGGTAGCAGAGTACCCCAACCATCATTTTACATTTCAAGGTGAAATAATATTTGAGCCAGACTCGAGTCTTAACTGAACAGGCTCATCAAAGTAACTGATGTACCCTTCATTCCTGGGGCAATGTGTTATTATTGTAATTATTACTGGCAGTGTATTATTCAATTTGTATTGGTGGTATTTGTCCTAGCCATGAGAGTTGTGTTTAACTTGTGCCTTGTGTGTTGCACGTTGACGTCTACAGAAAAAGTGTGATAAGGTGTGATCACCCCAGGCTCCCTTTATAGCCACGGGCAGGAGCAAGTCACGATACATCTCATTCTAACTCACAGGCTACTCCCCAAAAATTGTAATTTCTCTCTGTTAACAGTTAGTGGAGTCCAGCATAATCAGCTCAGCTGCAAGAGCAATACTGTAAACATCTAAAGCCAGGTGAGATGAGTGTGTATCTCCTTGCTGGGCAGATTCAGATCCCTGTTTCACTGAAAATGCAAGTGGGAACTCTGAGCATGAGCAACTGTCTCGCCTCACAATGGGACATCTATTAACAAAACCATCTAGCAGTTTGAGAAGCTTTATTTCCTCACAGCACTGCAGTGACTCTGATCTGTCTCTGCTCAGACTGGCAGGGCACCTCTGTAGACAATAATGTGCTGGATGCATTGCTACTGAATACCAGCAGGATTGGCCATGGACTCGCTCTCATTAAACACCCAATAGCCAAAAGTTTGTCTCTGAAGAGGGATATTCCTGTAGAGGTCTGTCCCATCTCCAACCAGGTATGTTGTTAAAAGCTTTTTTCCTGTGGCTTGGTCACTGGAAAGGGATTTACCATAGCTGGGACGGTCGGCTGGGGGACACCTACAAGTTTTGATGCACACAGGCTGGCTTAGTTTCCTTTTACACCACCTTATACTGCAATTTGCCACGTGGATGTACACTGTGAATATTTATCAGTCTTGTAATGCCAGTCAGCAAAAAATATAATTTAAATTCCTATCCAGAGGAACTTGGGAAGGCAGTCATCCCTAGTGGAGATGGAGGCCCAGAGCCACAGAGGTGCCTTGAGAGATGTAATTGAAAATACTTCAAAGCCAGGAGGGCCAGAGGCTGAGAAGCTGGGATTGTGACTGCAAGTTCTTGGTTTTGCAGAATTCATAACCAGTGGGAACTCTTTTGCAGCACGTTAGTGTGGTGCCATTGTCCCCTGGGTGCAGCAGAAAGGATACTTTGGGTGGAGATTGACTGGTGTGAGCCTTAAGGGAGAGAGCCCTGATACCAGCTTAGCCTCAAGCTAAGCACCACAGCAAATGTGTAACCAAAAGACTTCTCCTGAACTGCTCACAGTCAAATTGTTCTAAACAAGCACAAGTTATTCACCCCACTGGCCTTGATTAAGGTGATTTATTTAAGAAATTAATCTCCTTGTACAGTCAGTGGGGACAAGTTGGTTCCTCCTGCAGCAGTTCAGAGCAGAAAACATTCTGAGCAGTCCTGCAGCCTGTCCCTCCCTGACCACTACCTGCTGTCACAGGCAGCCCTGGCAGGTGTCGGTGGGACCCAGGTGCAGCAATAACCTGGCCTGGTGGTGTCTCTCACTTTTCCCCACCCAGGTCCTGCTGTTGGTGGCTGACTTGAGGAGTCACCCTGCAGCTGACCTCATGGCTGAGGGGCACCCCATTGTGATCAGCCCCGATGATCCCTCCGTCTTTGGGGCAAAGGGAGTCTCCTATGACTTCTACGAGGTGTTCATGGCCATCGGAGGGATGAACGCCGACCTGAGGACCCTAAAACAGCTTGCACTCAACTCCATAAAGTAAGTTCATCACCTCTCTCACCTTGTCATAGTAATCATAAAGGAGACTACCAGCTTGCCCTCCTTGCTTGCATTTGGGTTTTGGCCCCAGAGTCTCCTCTGCCACGTGAGCTGGGCTCTGTTAATCCAAAATCTCCTCTGTGTCTTGTCCACAGTGAGCGCAGAGGCTCCTCTGACTGTGCTCTCAAGTGCCTTTCTCTGACTCCATGCCTCAGTGTATTCCTCCTTTTCCATCCTTTGTGAACTTACCTCCACCACCTGGTTCTGGGTTTGGCAGAAATCGTATGTCTTCATATCACTTGTCTATTTCTGCCAAAATTTGACTTGCTGTGTTTGCCAGGACTCATCTGGGAAATGCAGGAAAACAATTAGCATTTAGTTTGGGGGTGTTTAACCCCTTTTTCTATTAACTGGACAGTTCTGACTGCCCAAAAATAGTTTGGATATGATGCCCAAGGTCTTCCTGCACATTTCCTCGTCTCCTGCCTGTTTTACACTGTGTTACTCTGTGTGGTGCAGGCAAGTCCTGCAAGGGTTAATCTCTTGCTGTCTCCTGCCTTTTCATTTCTGTGCTGCTCTTGAAATAGCTGCCTCCTTGTCTCCTGCCTGATACTGACTCTCCTCCTCCCCACAGATACAGTGCCATGCCACTGGATGAGAAAGCCAAGGCCAAAGAGGTCTGGCAGAAAAAATGGGACCAATTTGTGGCTGACCTCTCTGATAGCTTTCTAAGGGAGCTGTAGAGAGGACAAGGCTCATCTCAGAAGGCATTTGGCAAGCTAGAGCAAGCCAGACTGATTGCTAAGAGGGAGACTTGCTTCTTCCACGTGACCTGAGCAGATGAATGGACGTCAAAGTCTCACCTGGCAGTGGGCGACTCTGCTAAGCCAGGCTTAATGGGCTTAAAGCTAAGAAGGAGCTGCACTATCCTCTGAAACTCATGGGCTGGAGATAAAAGGGAGCAGTGAGCCTTTAGAGCAACTACAAGAAATCGCCCTGCTCAAAAGAGTCAAAACAATTAAAAATTGCCAATGACCAAATCCTGACGTGCTTATTCAGGAAAAACACGCTTTCCAATTAGAGTCAGCAGGAGATTGCCAACATGAGGATCTCTGAATTTTGCCTTATCATTACAAAATGCAGACCTTGTCCGGAAACAGCTAAGACAAACATCCAACCATTTGGGCCACTGACCTTCAAGAGAGCAAGGACTGAAAATGACTCTTGTTATGTTTAACCCTGGGCCTGCCGCCAAAATAGCACGGCTAGGTCGAAGAACCAGTCATAGGTCTGATGTCTGCTATTTCAGGACCTACCATGGCTGGAAACAAGCTGGTGGAACTTGCTCCCAGAACATTTAAGCCTGGTTGCACAGTGATCATAAAGCCAGAAGAGAGGTGCCTCAGTTGCCAGCATTTTTTTTTTTTTACTGCAAAGTATTTTCCTGTCCTCTGGTCAAAAGGAAGACAAAACACATTTCAGGTTAAGTCAAAAACATCCTGGCTTCCCAGACCCAGCTTGATTAAAACTGTCCCCCTGCACAAGGCTGTGTTAACACAGACATTTATAGGAAACATCTTTTGGTTTCAGGGAGTTCCACTGCTTTGTTACTGAACTCATCGTGCAAATGTGGCTTTTTTCAGCCTGTCAGAGAGATTTTCACCTTGGTAGAGAACTGCTGTGGATATCCACAGGGCTCATTTGGATCTCTGTAGCTCTGTGGTTTCCAGCTCCTTAGCAAAAAAGACAACCTACACAAGAAATAGTTTCTTGACAAGCTGATTCGCTGTCTTAACATCATCAAAAATACCAGGAGGAGAACTAGTTGCAGGGAGACTAAAAAAAAAAAAATAATAAAATTTTAATCTAAGGTTGCTAAATAAATTTAGAAAAATCCTTCAGCACACACATGCCAAGCATGCAGCCAGGATCAAAAAGCATCTTTCCCTGACTTCAGTACAATCATGCTGGTTTGCATCAGTCAAGGGAGAATTGACAAAAGTTCCTACCTAAAGTCATCTCCCTCCTCTGAACCACAGACTTGCAAAGGCTGTTGTTTCCTAATCTCTCCAGCCCAAATGGCTCTCTTTATGCTCTCTGTTAATTGTCTCAAGCTGCCTGGCCATAGTGTTTATTTCCACTGACCTTGGTTGGAACACCTTAGCAGGAGGCAAGCGCACTTATTACAGAAGTGGATCAAGCTGTGCAGCCTGTGTGCCCTGCGTTAAATTACCCACAGTTCACAGGCTTCATCTCAAGAAAACAAAAACCAACCAAACCCACTACAAAACCCCATCACAGAACACAAATAAAACCACAACAAACTGCAGGTGTGTGCATTGCAGAAGGCAGCAACACAAACCACAGAAATGGAAAAGCGAGAGCCCAGTCACACAACATCTTCCTCTGAAGCACCCTGGTGCTTTTTTTTGCCTTGATTTGGTCTTGGGAAGGAGTTTTATCCTGGAGGAATAGCCAGAGCAGAGCCACCCTCCCTCCTCCTGCATGGGTGGTGCATGCAGAGCTCAGACTAAAGTCCCCAGGGTAGGTTTTGGTCACGGCCAGGTACTAAATGCTGACTTGGGAAGTGCCTTACTTGTAATGAGTTGAGGAGAACCATTGCAAACAAGCAGAATGGCTGCTAACCAGTGACCCAAAGCCCTGTCTCTCTCAGCAACCTGATCTTTCAGCTTTGCTATATGTAGATGGATGAAGACCTTTATTTGCCATGAGTTGATTCTCCCTTAAATAAGCCTCTTTGCTGCCAAGGTGAAGCTAATCATTACAGAGCCACTGTGGGAGGAGCTGAGCTCAGGTTGACCCGTGCCCCTTTCTTTTCCACCACAGCAGAAAGCTTTCAGCTCTTCCTGCACGTGGTCTCTTGAGGTCCTGAACCACTTTTTGGTCACCTGTAGTCCTCCTTTCTCTTCATTACCTGCAGTAATTGCAGGGCTAGGTCTTGCATTTACCAAGTGCTTGCTGGAACCAGTTTACCTGTTGTGTCCAGCTTGTTCTTGCTTTCCTAGGAAAAGCCTGCCGTGCACATGGCCATTTACTTATTTCACAACTGTCCTGTGATGGTTCCAAGTGCCTGGAGCCACCAGTGCCTGATGCTGTCCAGGATTACAGCAGAGTCAGGTCTGATGCAGAAATCACAAGGGTTTAAAATGGCACAGGTCTGATGCAGCCCCCAAAAAGGTGAACCTTGACTCTACAGGACTGTGTGTGCATTTGGAACTAGCTTAGTGGCTCCGCTTCTGATGGAAGTGTCCACCTTAGGGGTGGGCAGAGGGCAGAAATTCTTCCATCCTGATCATCTCTGTGGGTTTAAATGTGAACCTGAACCACACAGAGGGGCCTGACTCCAAAGGTATGGCCTTCCTTGGATCCCTCCTTGCACAGGGCATTGCCATGTGTGGTGCCTGGGGCTTCCCAAAAGTCCTCTGGCATATTTAGGGCCTTAGTGAGTGTGACAGAGGGAAGGACAGCCTGCGCTACTGCTGGGGATCTGCTCTTCCTTGTGGCATGCTTTAGTTGGGAGAAAGGTACAAACTGAGAAGCCCAGGCTGCATCCTCACCTCTCCAACTCCAGGTGTGCAAAAAAGGAGGAATTTAGGCTGGACCACAGCAGTTATAAAAGATTTCATTCAGCTCCATTCAAGCTTTGGGTAAATTTGGCTGCAGGGCTTCACTGAGACTTGGCTTTTAGCAGCAATATTCCAAGGGTTTTGCTGCCAGTCTATTCCCTTTTCCCCAGTACCTTGGCTCCCTGCTCACATTTATTGGCAAATACACCACATATTATGCTCTCTTGCTTGTCTCTTTCAGAACATAGTCTATAATTAATTTTTTTAGACCTGTCTTAATTGTGGGGGTTATTTTTTCTTTTTTTTTTTTTTTTCCTTTTTTTTTGGCTCCCTGTTAAAAAGAGCAGGAGATGCCTGGATTTGATGGGAAGTTTTAATCTGGAGCATGCAGTGGAGGGGGATGTCTCACATCACTCAGCCTGGAGTGATCAGGGAGTCTGGAATGCCTTCCCAGCAAAGGGCAGCCTGATCTGTGGAGCTAACACAGTGTTGAGTGCCCTGTTCCCACTTCTCCAAGCCCCAGAGGAGCTGCATCCAGCTCAGGGCCGTGTGTGGATCCACAGAGCACCTGACAGGATTAGCTTGTGCTGCCTCTCCTCCCACTACAGCCCTGTACCATCTCAGTGATGGCCTGCTTCAGTCTCCATCCAGACTCAGGAGCAAGGAAGGAGAGTAGAAAATTCATGGAAGTTGCAATTAGGGTTATTTCAAACAGTCATAATGCCTTGGGTGGCAATGCAAGATGGAACCAGAAGGATGTGTTCTATCACCAGCTGTTAAAACCAGCTGGGGCACTGTTCTTTATCTCTCCCACCACCCATCCTCCCTCCAAGGGGAAATCTGCTGTTCATGGGCCATTGAGTCTCACTGCAGGACTGATAAAATTCCATCATCCATTGGGAGATGCTCCACCCAGGGGCAGGAACCAAGCATTCCTACCTGGATATAATCTGAGATTTGGAACAGCACAGCAGCCTTTCTGCACTGGATGCCAGAGGAAAACAGGAGCCATCTACAGCCCTGGAGCTTCAGAGGAGAACTGCACCCTTCTACAGGATCTGTGCTTCAGCAGAACCACATCTGTCACTGCAGGAGAGCTGCAGCCACCATTTAATGGGACTGCTACCAACAGCCTGCCCAACAGGGTGTCAGGTTGTATCCTGACTCTATCAATGGGTTGTTTTGTACTACTACATTTTTATTTTAATTTTCCTAATAAAGAACTGTTATTCCCATTCCCATATCTTTGCCTGAGAGCCCCTTGATTTCAAGATTGTAATAATTCAGAAGGAGCAGGGAGGGGAAGTTTCACATTTTTTCCATTTCAAGGGAGGTTCCTGCCTTCCTTAGCAGACACCTGTCTTTTCAAACCAAAACACATAGCAATACCTAAAGCCTTATGCCTGTTATCTCCCCCATCTGTCACTCCCTGTGGCCTCTTCAGGTTCAATTTGTTTAAATGGGAGGTGGATGGAGCTTTGTTTGCAGGACAAGTGTTTGCTGCAGAGCATCTTAGCCTGCCTTTGGGGCAATTTAGAGGATGAAATGTTTGCCTCCTGGTCACTCACTGCCAGGAAATGGCTGATCCAGCACTAGTGGTTGCTGTCAAAAACCATGCCAGTAAAAACAGAGGAGCAAAGTAAGTGGCTGGAGACAGAGACAGGCCCAAGCAAGCAGCTGGATCTATCTGTCATGTGAGCCTCCATCGCTGCAGTGGGACTATGCAGGTGCCAGATGCTAAGCAAAGCCCTCTGGCCATAAAACACAGGGCTGCAGATGCATTTTCCACCAGCTCCAAATGATCAGCCTGCTTCATGTTGTCTTCCTATGGAAGTCTCTGAATTAACCTCTTCACAGGTAGCAGAAGGACATTTCCTTGGTCAGAAACCTGTAGCTCTAATTGGCTCAGTCCTTAATTCCTTTCTTTCCAGGCTTGCAGCAGTTGCAATCACAGCAGGTCTATCAAGCATTTTCTGGGCACTGAGGGACAGGCAGGTGAAGGGTCTGGCTCTCAATTCTCCTGGCTTGTCATTTTTATCAGGTTGTGTCCTCCCCCTTGGTCATTACAGGATAAGAAAAGCATTTTACTGTATTTTCTCAACCTTTAGCTTGTCCATCATTCTATGAGCAGGCTGCAGCATGGGAAGAGGAGAGAAACTGCAGGGGGAGGGCTGGTTCAGGCCATTAGAGCCTCTGCAGCAAGGAAAGAGATGGAAAGTACGGCTGCTTTCAAGGAGGGGGTGTGAGAAGGTCAGGAAGAGGAGGGGGAGTGATGACAGGGCTGTGAGCCCAGGGAAAACAGAGCTGCAAAGTTTACACAGGGGAAAGGCTGTGGGCAATGCCTGCTTTGCTTGTCTTTCTAGCTATGAAAGGGAATGGGAGGCACATCCAAGAGCAGTGTGGACAGGGGAAGAAGAGGGAGTCGCCTGTGGGTGGTGTGAGAAGGGCAGACAGACGATCCCCAGGGGAATTTGGGGTACAGCTGTTGCCAGATGTGCCCGTGGAGGAGATCACGAGCTCCAAGACACCCGAATGGGAAGCTCCAAGCAGAGTCACAGAGAAATTCCCCAGCCCTTTAAGGGAAAAGACACAGCCGAGCATTCAGCACAGGGATGATGGGCTAAAGCCTGCCTGCCCACGGGTGCTGGGAGCCCTGGGGCTCAGCAGCCACTGCACTCCTGTGCCCGGCCGCTGGTAAAGTCCCCCCGTTTCGGTATAAAAATAAGCGCTCCAGCCTGTTGGACAGCCTTCCTTGGAAAAACAAACACGGCAGCGCTGGCAGCCCGCAGGGATAAAGCTCACGCACACTTTGGGGACGCCTCTCCAGCCGCGGATACCCCTGGAGTCCCTTTGGGAGCAGAACAAGGCGTTCCCTTCCCTCCCTCCGGCCAGACCCCGCATCCCCAGCCGCATCCCCCGTGCCCGGAGCCCCCCGAGCCGTGGAGCAGGAGCGCCTCCCGCAGGGATGCAGCGGATAAAACCCTCTCTCCCAAAGCCCTCCGCCCCAAAACCCCCCAAAACCAGCCCTAAAACCCCCGTCCCCCAAAACCTTAGCCCCAAAAAACCCCAGCCCCCAAAACCCTCAATCCCAAAACCCCTCACTCCCAAAACTCCCACTCCCCAAACCCTCACCCCCAAAACCCCCATCCCAAAACTCCTCACTCCCAAAACCACCGGCCCAAAAACTCCCATCCTGAAACTCCCACCCCCAAACTCCCAGCCCTAAAACCCTCACCCCCAAAACTCTCAGACTAAAAAATCCCCAACCCCAAAACCCACAGCCCCAAATCCCCCCCGACAAAAATCCCCCAACCCCCACAGCAACCCCCCCACCTGAAATTCGTGGATATTTAATACACTAAACTTTATTTTTTAGCCGTGAAATCCTCTCTGCAGTAGGGAACAGGTTGGATGTCTCTCCCAGCTCTTTTGCAAGCCTTGGGAATGGGAAGAAAGGGGCAGAAATATCCCTACACTTAAAATAAAAGGGACTGACAGACCCCTACAATGCAGTTCAGTCTAGAGGCACCAAAACCAGCAACCAAAACAACCCATCTAACTTGCAAGTGGCTGCACCATTAAAAGGCCATAAATCCATGTTCGCAAACACCCTAAGCAAAAATCAAAGCAAATCAATCACATTTTCCTTCTGCCAGGAGGGACACTCTTGGTGGATGGGTGAGGAGAAGCACTCGAGACAAGGCTCCTGTGTTCATCATTAATTTCAGAAAGTCTTTGTGTCTCTCTCGATTTTTCATGGACAGCCAAGGAAGGTGAGGGTTGGATGCCTCTGGTTTCTACATGTTTGAGAAAGCCACACTTCGGAGGAGCTGTACCTGGCTTCCTTGTTTGAAGATTTGAAGCCCAGCTCTTCAGGGAGCTAAATATTTTCAGCAATGTCTCCAAGGCCAGCATGAATTTTGCCGGAGCAGGATGAGCTGCAGACACTTCTGAGAAATTAAAAGTGATCCTGGCAAATCGAGGAAACCACAAAAAATAAACGGTGGGTAATTCAGTTAAGGCGAAAGCACTTGAGGAGGAATAACCACCTGTACAAATTTATATCTCTGAGCTGCCAGAGCTTTAATAGCTCTGCAGATAGTGCTCTGGGCGTTAAAGTGGGTCAAAAACAAATTAAGGTTAGTGTTCATGGCAATGGAAGCGTAAAAACAAACAATTACGCTGTGTAATTGATGCCTAAAGTCATACTTGTTAAACCTGCCCTGCCGAGGGACTCGGGAGAGCCTAAGCGCAGTCAGAAAGCAAACAAACATTATTTAATCTCCGAGATTTCAGCTAAAAAAAAAGCGACCAGAGTTTCAGAGATCCTTATTTACCTGTAGGAAAAAGGGCTTGCACAGAATGAGGCTGAGCATACAGCTCTGGAGCAGCTCCGCTCCTGTTGATTTTCTGAAGGGCTGAGATAAACCCGCTGTGATTGCAGGGGCTCAAAGCCTTTCTCCTTCCCAAACCTCTCCTGGCAGGTGAATTTGCACGCCTCAGCCAGCGCAGCCCCGTCCCGCTGCTGCTCTCTGACTCTCCACAACCCCGCCTCGCCCCGAAGCGGGGGCAGCACCCTTCCCTAGGAACACCATTTCCCGGAGCCCCGGTGTGGGGGCCGGCAGAGCGGGGGCCGGCAGAGCGCTGACCGCCCTTCGTGCGCCCGCCCCGGCCCCGCCGCACCGGGAGCTGAGGCCGGCAGCGGCATCGTGCCCGAGGCCGCAGGGGATGACGGGAGCTGTAGGCCGAGAGGGCCGCAGGGGCGGATGGGAGCTGTAGTCCGGGAGAACGGCGTGCCCGAGGCCGCAGGGGCGGATGGGAGCTGTAGTCCGGGAGGGCGGTGTGCCCGAGGTGGCGGGGCGGCATGGCGCTGCGCGGCTCGCTGCGGGCCTGCCGGGCGCTGCTGCGCTCCCCGGGCCCGCCCGCCCGCGGGCTCTGCAGCCGGGTGCGTGCTCGGAGGGGCGCGGGGCGGGCGCGGGGCGGGCGGGCAGGCTCCCGGCTGACCGTGCCCTCCGCTCGCCTTGCAGCCGCCGGCTTTCGGCTTCCTGTTCGATGTGGACGGCGTGCTGGTGAGGGGCAGCCAGCCCGTGCCCGCCGCCCGCCGCGCCTTCCAGAGGCTGGTGGACAGCAGCGGGCGGCTGAGGGTGCCCGTCGTGTTCCTGACCAACGCTGGGAACTGCCTGCCGGCGGCCAAGGCCCGAGAGGTGTCCCGGGCCGTGGGGCTGCAGGTAATGGTGACGGGGCAGCGGCGGCGGGAGGGAGCCCGAGCGATCCCCGGGCCGGGAGGAGGCGCCGCCAGGGCCCGGCTTGGCCTCGGAGAGGGACGGCTCCCATGCCGGGAGAAGGGGGTGAAATCCTCCTCCTGTGGGTCCCAGCCGGCCTGTCCTCCGTCCCGCAGGTGTCTCCGGAGCAGGTGATCCTGTCGCACAGCCCCCTGCAGCTCTTCAGGCAGTTCCACCAGCGGTGCATGCTGGTGGCCGGGCAGGGACCCATGGAGGAGAACGCCTACAAGTATCCTTTGTGCCTCACGGTGCTCTGTGAGTCCTGAACGGGATGCTTCAGCTGCGGCGTCCCGGCCACAGGCACCTGCCCCTGGCTTCTGAAGCACAAGGAGACACACGAAGGTCATTGGGCACACCTTATGGGCCAGCGTCCTTATGGACAGGGGCTGTTGATCTCGCTGCCTGGCTCCCCTGATCAGTGTTTGGCTTCTCACGCTCATGGCCTCTCCTGTGGTTGCTGTTCTCTTGGTGGGATGTGACCGTGAGCACTCTGTCAGCTTTACTTTATCTCACTTTAAAGTTGTGCTCCTCCCATGCTTTCATGGCAGAGCTCGTTTGAGATCACTCCCAGCTGTCCCACGGATAAGGTTTTCCCCAGAATCTGACAATAATTGAAGGAAAACTCAAATATACAGTCTTTAAGCAGTCTCTGGTCTAGTGGAAGGTGTCCCTGTGTGGCTGAAATCCATGAGATTATGCATTATTACACTTCCCTGTTACTAGGACTTGCCAGCCTTAATCCTATAGAGTCTCCTGCATGGAACTTAAAGCTAAACAGCCAAAAATGAAAAAAAAAACCCAAAAAAAACCCCAAACAAACCAGTCTCCACAACATTCCTTGATGGTCTGATCTAGCCTGGGGTTCAAGCACGTGGTGACCATAGAGGCCCTGAGGAAGGCATATCCCCTGTTAGACATGGTGGACCTGAGCCGGAGGCCGAAAGAACTGGTAATTTCCTGCAGCAGAAGGGCTGTTCTGGGGCAGAGCTGGTGCCAGCACCCAGCAGAGGGACAGGGCAGCTGGTGAGGTTCCTTAGCTAGAGCCTGGCACTGACACTGTCTTGTCAACTCTTGCCAGTGTTGGCTCCTGCAGGAAGGGCAGTGACTCTCCCCTCTCCTTATGCCATCCTTCCTTTGCTGGTCCTTGCAGTGAGGGGTAGGATGGTTTGGTTGATATCTCCACCTCTGAGACAGCAGTGCAAGATTTGTGAAATCCCATCTGGCATGGGGGAAGGGGAAAAAAAAAATACTCCTTCAGGATTTCATGTGGTTTTGTCCTGCCTTACTATGGAACCGCCTTGGCAGGTTCAAAGGAGGCATTTTTAGTTTTGTTTTGGAGATGGCATTAGGTTTTGCATTACTAATCCAGCCTTTTTTTTTTTTTCTGGCAGCCTCCTCCAACTACTGGCTTCCCCACTATAGAAGGTAAGCAGTGGCCTGTGTTTACACATGAGCAGCAGGCAGAGCTAAGAGCAAGGCAGGCCAGCTGGGATGGGAGCTGGTGACGTGCTGTCAGCTCACTGCTATCCACAGGCAGCATATTCGGAGGGTACAGACAGCAGGAAGCTTCACTGCTGGAAAAAGCTGGATAAAAAGCAACTTTTCCCTGTGCTGTGTGCCAGTATCTGGGACCAGTGTAGCCTGGAGCCCTGGCTAGCCACGTTCCACTGGTAGCTGTACTCAGGGCAGCTCAGCAGAGGAGGGGTTTTGTTAGCTGTGACTTTCCAAACAGCTCTCAAAAATCTTGCAGGGGTGATTCTTTTTGGTGAGCCAGTGAGGTGGGAGACAAGCCTGCAACTCATCACTGATGTGCTCCTGAGCAATGGGAACCCTGGGGCAGAGCTGCAGGATGTACCATACCCTCACCTGCCTATCCTTGCCTGCAACATGGACCTCCTGTGGATGGCTGAAGCCAAGATGCCCAGGTGAAAAAAGCATGTGTGGGATTTGGTTTAGCCTATTTCCTACTCCTCTGGTGCAGATGATTTTTTCCTGCTGTGTTTTCTTAGCATTTGAATGTTTGAAGAGCTTGATTGTACAATGTAGCAGCAGAGACAGGAAAGCTGCATGAGAAACAAAGGCTAAAACTTGGGGAGAAGCAAAAGCCAGAGCACTGCCTGTGGAGGTGTGTGTGGACACACCTTTCTTGTGGTGTTTTTCCAAAGCATTTTTTGCTTTGCATTTTCAAAACAGGCAATAAAAAAGAAAAACAAACCAAGGAGTGCTTGCTGCTTCAGTGCTGTTACTGGGGATGCTGATGACCTCCTTTCTGGTGCAGGTTTGGCCATGGCACTTTCCTTCTCTGCTTGGAGAGCATCTACAAGAAGGTGACAGGCAGGGAGCTGAAGTATGAGGCCTTGATTGGCAAACCCAGCCCAGTCACCTACCGCTATGCCCAGTACTTGATCCAACAGCAGGCAGAGAAGCAGGGCTGGAAGGCTCCCATCCGACACCTCTATGCAGTTGGGTAAGAGATTTTTTTTCCTGCTGGTTTCCTTAGTGAGTTGCATACTGACTGCTCTTTTGTTTTTTGTTTGTTTGGGTTTTTTTTTTGTGGGTTTTTTGTTTGGTTGGTTTTTTTATTGTTTGGTTTGGGTTGTTTTTTTGCTTACTTGCTTATTTTTCTTTTCTCTCTGGATATTTGTAAAGTTGATACCAAAATTCTGATGCTGCCTCTGGAGCCTCACATCCTGGAGCAGAGGCTTGCTAGCTTTTTGTGTCCTACACAGCAAAGCTGTGGACTGTAGGATGCAGAGTGCACATAAAGACAAAATTAAGAGTCCCAGATGTGGTACTGTGACCTCAGTCTGGCCAAACACTTTGGGAATGTAGGGAATATAATCCAGTAGTGGCTGAAGCTGCTGTGGCTGCTTGGGGTGTGCTGTCTCCTCTTTGAAATGTGCACATGGCCTGAGCAGGACTCACTGGTGGGTGGACTCAGTGGCCCACTCCAGCTGCTCCTCTTGATGTTGGCAACCATCCCACACCCCTTCCTCCTTCATTGCCTCGTTAGTCTCAGTCCTGCAGAGCCAGAGAGAGATGCATGGGCTTGTTTCTCATTTCTGTTTCACACTGTGACCTTACCCAGGGATAACCCCATGTCTGACATCTATGGGGCAAACCTCTACAACAGCTACCTCAAGTCAGCTCAGCAGAGCCAGGCCCATGCTGGGCTGAAGAGGAGCCCACAGGCAGCCAGTCCCCAGGCTGAGGTTTCCCTGGAGCTGAGGAATGACTGCAGCAGTTCAGTGGAGAGCTGTGAGTCGATTCTGGTCTGCACTGGGGTCTACAACCGCGGCAGCGGCGTTCCCAAGGAAACAGAGGCACGCCCAGAGGAGGCAGTGTTCCATGGACATCGGGACTTCTGCTTCGACCCCAGCCTGCTGGAGGCATCTTACATAGTGGAGGATGTGGATGATGCTGTGCAACTTGCTTTTCAAAAAGAAAACTGGAGCTAGGAGTTAAGAAGGGTGTGCCTGAAGATCTGCTGTAAGGAGTTTCATGTACTGGAAAGGGAAGAGGGCAAGAATGGGGAGGGACCTGGGCTGATTTTCTTATCTAGCTAACGTGAGAGAAAACTCCCTGTTGCAGCACTAAAAGCCCCTAAATGTTATTGGTACTCATCTGCCATCCTGGCAGACTTTCAGCTGTGACTGTACATTGCTGCCAGCCCTAATTGAGCCGTAATGGAAACAGGGTATAAGGAGCAGGCTTGTCCCAGCAATCCCAGTTTTGTTCAGCTCTCATAGCTCATTCTTTTCCACACTTTGTGTGCAAAGATCAGGGGAGCCCACCCTCCTCTTTGTGAGGTGTTTGAGGGTGAAGCTCTTCCCCACACGAGGAGCCACCATCAGCCATTTGTACAATGTGCTGTTTGTCCAGGCTGGGACTGGAGCACACCAGAAGCTGGGGCTGTGGTGGCACCATGCCAAGGGGAGGCTTTAGGTCTTAACATCCTCCTCCTGAAGAATAAGTGCCTACAGACTTTAACAAATTCTCTTTGCCTGGGGATTTGCCACTGCATCACTGTCAGTGTGAAACAGAGTTCTGTTTTGCAGTCATCTGGCAGCTGTGGAGAGGCAGGGCCCCTCAGAGGAAGCTGCAGTAGCCAGAGCAACTTGATGCAGGACTGAGGTGAAAGTTATATTGTTCCCTCCCCCCTGTTTAGCATTCTGTGAACACCCCTGCCTTTTCACATCCCACCAGGGAGCCAGCAGCCTGCTCTCAGTAGCAGAGGAAACCTCCAGAGTTTGAATTGGCAGAGTTGTCTTTGCACAGAACTCAGTGCTGCAGCAAGAGGCTCCTTTGGCACCCAGTCTGATCCCAACTGTTGTAAGGAACATCCACCTGCTCCAGCTGGCACAGCTTCCAA